AATTTATATCAGCATGGTATTGATGCATAGTGAAATATAAATATTCACAGCATCGTTCTGAATGGCTTGTTTAAGCTTGGGTATACAGTTTACTTTAATTGCTATCGACATATTTAAGTTATATACAGCTATCGATACATAAATTATATTGAAACTCAACCACCTTCGTATATTTATTAAATATTTAAAAATTTACCGGCTGATAATAGAACTGATTATTATTTATAGAGAGCTACAAAAAAACTAAAAAGACTATTCACTCTTCACTCATTGGACAAGAGGACTTTAATTTGGTCAGTAGCAATGAACAAAAGCACACACATTTGCTAAATATCTTGAAAACACGTTCAAATACAATAACAGACAGGAAAATGAGCAACGTTGGGAAGAACCAGTCCAATTAAAAAAGTAGTACGATCGATATCTCCTAAAAAACGAATGACTTAAATAAATGAAAACATTAACCCAAAAATTCAGGCTATGATTTATTTACTGGTGAGTTACTAAAAAAACTACCTGATAAAGGTATTTGGAAACTTATTAATCTTATTATTGCTGCCTTTAGGTTAATGAATGTACCCAAATTATAGAAAATAACGGAAATCATAATGATTGTCAAACCAAGAAAACCTCCCAATGAAGCCTCTTGGTACAGACCAATATCACTATTTTCTGTAGTGTCGGAAGTATTCGAGACTCTCTTACTCAAAAGAATGAAAACAATTCCTAAACCAAAAAAATTGATTCAGATACATCAATTTGGCTTTAGAAATAAGCACACGACATTTAGTCAAGTGCATATATTTCGATCATTGAAAAATCATTGGAAAAAAAGAAGGTATATTCTACTATATTTCTCGATGTTGCTCAAGTCTTCGATAAAGTATAGCAGGAAGGTTTGATGTATAAGCTGATAAATAAAATAACTATACTGTTGATTTGTAAAAAGGTTATTAAACAATATTAATTAAACATATGTAACCGTTTTTACATATTAGAGAACATTGACATAACTTAAAAAACTTAATTTTTTTTTCTCTTATCTTGAATATTACATTAGTGCGAGAGCTTATATTAACACTCCCACTTATTCAAGATTTAAATACAAAAACCTAATACAAATTAACAAATATATAATTTAAATTGACAAATTTAACTTATTCAATAAATTGTTAAAAACTGGCTTTGACAATGCTTTTGTGAACAAATCCGCTAACTGATTACTTGTATTGGCATAGCTTACACAGATATTCTTGTTTTCACACTGATCTCGAACAAAGTGAACCTTAATATCAATATGCTTGGTTCTGCTATGAAATTGTTGTGCCTGTGTTAGCTTAATGGCAGATTGATTATCAACAAAGATGTTGACAGGTGAGACATCAATTCCAATCTCTTTTAAAAAATTTCTAAGCCATAAAGCTTCTCTAACACCAAAAGTCAAGGACACATATTCGGTCTCTGTCGTTGACTGTTCCACTATATTTTGTTTTTGGCTCTTACAAGTAAAAGGGCCATTGCCTAGTATAAATACATATCCATTAGTAGATTTTCTTGTATCCAGACAGTCAGCATAGTCTGCATCAGTGTAGCCTATTACCTTCATTTGTGTATATTTTTTGTTCATAACTTTATAATGAGCAGTATATTTTAGATATCTAAAAATAATTCGTTTTACTGCTTTCCAATGTTCATCACTCCAAGCATAAATAATCTGCTCAACTACCTGATTAACTGCAAATGTAATATCTGGGCGACTGGTGGTTGCCAGAAAGATTAGTGAACCAACAGCCTCACGATATGGCAAAGATTTATTACAATTTAAAATATTTCCTTTAGACAAAGGTACACTAGGCTCTACAGGAATCTTTATTGGGTTAGCATTAGTCATAGTAAATTTAACAAGAAGTTTTTCTATATAATTATGTTGATGAATAACAATTGTACCTGCACTAAGATCTTGTTCAATCTCAAGTCCAACAAAATGTAATTTACTATTTATATTTACAGTTATCTTAAATATTTGCTTTAAAGTTTCTAAAAGTTCATTAATAGCTATTTCTGATTTTGACATGACAAGTCCATCATCAACATAAATTGCTAAATAAGTTTCAGAATTCAGAATAAGAAATTCAGAATAAGAAAGGATACAAACTTCTGGTTCCAGCATCGTGGTGATTACTTAAGTCCATATAAGTTTTTATTCAATTTACACACTAAGTTGTGTGACTTCTTACTTTCAAAACCAGTTGGCTACTTCATATAGACACACTGTGGTAGGTCACCATATAGGAATGCAATCTGTACATCAAAATTAGCAAGTCTATGGTCCTTTTCCGCTGCTAACGATAACAAAATCCGCACTGAGTCATACCGCATAACCGGTGCGAAAGTGTCTTTATAGTCTATTCCACGTTCTTGTATAAAACCTAGTGCAACCAGACGTGCCTTATAACGAACAGGATTACCGTCTAAGTCAGTCTTAACACGATAAACCCACTTATTGTCTATCACTTTTGCACCATTGGGCAATTTCATTAAGATCCATGTGTTATTAAACTTGAGGGCATCTATTTCCTCCTGCATTGCTTGTTGCCACTTGCTAGAGTCCTCACACTTTATTGCACTTTCATAACTTATGGGTTCAACTATGTCACAGTAGTTTGCTACACCATAATAGTCAGACTTAGACAGTGTATTTCTGTTCCGTAGCTGTCTATCATTAACATTATCATCATTGACATCATAGAACAGATTGCAATCAAAATCTTCATCATCATGATCTGTTGCTTGAGACCTATTATCATGTGACATGTCTAAACTCTCTTCATTGTCACTTTCTTGAATTTCATAGATATCATCATTGTCTCTTTCTTCATTGTCATCTAAGAGTTCAAATTTTAATCTTAAGATTTGCTTCTTATATTTAATCGTTTTATCTTCATTAAAATTTACATTGCAGCTCACTTCAATTCTTCTCCTCTCACAATCCCAAAGTCTATAATTTGAAGAATATCCATCATATCCCACGAACAATAATTCTCTTGATTTTGAGTCAAACTTCTTACGATACTCTGATGGTATCAACATGTAAACTGTACTGCCAAAAACTCTGATGTGCTTTAAATCTGGTTTGCTCCCAAACCACTTTTCATATGGAGTCATGTTTTGTACTTGCCTTGAAGCTGTTCGACTAAGAACATATACAGCATTATTTACAGCTTCAGTCCACAATTCTTGTGACACATTTTTGTTGATAAGCATAGTTCTTGCACTTTTAATAATTGTCCGTAACTACCTCTCACTGCGGCCATTTTGTTGAGGTGTATAAGGAGCTGAACATTCATGTAATATACCATTCTTTCTGATAAAGTCCTGAAAGTCATTATTAATATATTCTCCTTTACCTTGGTCACTTCTTAAAATCTTAATCTTATTGCCAGTTTGATTTTCAATCAGTATTTGAAAATTTTTAAACTTGTTAAGAACATCTGACATCTGACATCTGATTGTGCTTTAGAAAATAAACACTGCAATAACCACTACAATCATCTTTAAATAAAACAAAATATTTTGATCCACTTGGAGAAGAAATATTTACTGGTCCACATATATCTGTGTGAATCATTTCACCTGGTTTGTCTGATTTGCTTCTTGTAAGACTTATAGGGGTCTTTCTTGACTGCTTCCCATACTCGCACGTCTCACAGAAAACTTCTTCTTTGTTTCTGTCAACTCTACATTTTTGCCCAAAAAATATTAGCAAACTTTAGTCTTATATAACTAAAATATAGTTTAGAATTAAACAAGAAAATATCTAGTCAGACATAAGAGAAATTAGAGACGGAGTTTCACAAGGTAGCGTATTGGTTCCGGTACTTTATTTGCTTTACACGTGAGATATAGCTGTATTCATACACAATACCATTACCACCATTGCTGACAATACGGCGATTTTAGCGGTAAATGACACTATCAAAGGGGCAATAAACAAACTACAAACAGCAGTTAACAAAATACATTCCTGGACAAAACAAAATGGAAAATTATGCTGAATGAAACTAAATCTGTTTACTTCAACTTATTAATAAAAAGATATAAAATGTACTAGTTACAAATAATAATAACCAAGTACCATATGCAAATGCGCGGGAAAACGCTGAAAAGTTGATGCCGAGAAAAAAAAGGAAAGAACTTTGCATGAGATACAAAAAATGTATTTTATACTCGAAAGAAATAATCTAGAAATTTCAAAATCAACTATTAAGAAATATTGCGAATGCTCCTTGGTACGTGAGGAACAGCGACCTCCACAAGGACCTGGGTATGGAAATTGTGACTATAATTATCAAGAAGGTGGCTGAAACTCATGAAAAATTCATGACTAAATCATGAGCCATGTGAATATAAAAGCTATTTAGCTCCTTACCAACAAAGGGCAAACTAGAAGAGGATAAAGTCCTTCGAATTAGTTTAGGTGATACTGAAATAGCAAAGCATAGTTCTTCTGCGTGTGGTACATGTTAACACTAGTTATGTGTTATTTATTAGATTAGATTAATAGAACGTCATAAAGTAAACTCATGATTTTAAGTATCTTTAGTAATTTAAGATAAATTAAAATTGTTTTTTGGTCATATGTGACCAAAGTATAATCGTAAATAAACAGAAAAATAAACAAAAAAAAAATAAATAAATAACTAAATTCCGATAAATGTAGACTAGTAGTAACAGTTTTTTTCTTATGATATTGTTAAAGTTTAAGAAACCTTATATATTGATAAATCAATTTAAGTAAAATACGTTCCTGCTCTATCTTAAGTTGGCTTGCGTAAGTTGCTATTAAAATGTGGTTTCTAAATATTATTTACTAGTTATTTGGCATTTATAATAATGTAATATATGTTGTTACATTTACCATAAGAAATCCAACAACAAAAGCAAAATTTTTCGTTTTAATACATTTTATACGAAAACATCTATTATGTGATGTAATTTACAGAATAGATATACCAACACAAACTTTGATTGATGGACTATCTCTTGTAGGCATTGTGATTTAATATTGAAATGATTGCTAGATAAGGAGTGTTTTGCTGTTATGCAGCCAGTGAAGTACAACCTCTAATATGGTGAAATAACTAAGTAATATTGGGTAAAAAAATTTTCATCTTCAGTAAGTGTTTTTTTTAATTTAATTTTTTTTAATTGGAGGGCATCAGATGCTATCTGATACTATTCTCTATTTTGTGGTAAATTTTTTTTATGTATTTGGCGTATGAAGCTATTGCTTTACATTTTGTGATTACAAGTGATTGCCGTTTTAGTTCAATATTAAGTTTTGTCTAAACTATAGAAGTAAATATTTTTAGCAGTCTTTTAAAGAGTGAGTAATAATAATAAACTAATGCTTGTATTACACCGACAATACCGATATGCCGATAATCTAACCAATTTACGATGTCATTTTCTTTTAAACTAGCTCATAATCAATTCATCAAGAAATGTCTTTGGTACTTAATGGCAAAACTTTGATAGGATATGTAGTGGCGATCTGCATAAGGTCGTTTGTCACTTTATTCGTTCTCACTCATTTCTAAACTAAATTATTTTCCACCTAAGAAGACAGCAATGCAGTTAGATCCTGGTAACTTTATTACTAGCGGACTAGATAAGCGGCGATATATTTATCACTACCCTTATAAATAACATTTGACTGCTCTGTTGTTTCAATCAGCACTGTTCAACAAGTTATCGTTTATTGGTTTTATTATTTTATTGCAATAGTATGAGTACGGAATATTTATTTAAGCAGTGAATTTATTAAATGTTAATTTTTTTAAAAAAGAAAACAATTAATCTGGTTCGGACAAGTTAAAAGAATTCCAAAGTACAGATGGCCTAAAAGACTACTGGAATTGATCACTTCTGAAAGAAGAAAGAGAGGACGACCACGGAGAAGTTGGCGCATTAATATTTATGAAGCAATGGCGGCAAGAGACTTAGAAGGGGTAATTGCATATGACAGAAAAGTTATTCCTTTAGAAGAACATATTATTTAAAAAATACGGAGCACCGTGTCATAATTATTGTAATATCCTTTATACACACTTAAAAAATTTGTTTAGTAATGTATTTTTTACATCCACACAATCATTGAAATATTATTTAAAAATGTCTTCCTGTTAACGACACTGTTATTGACAAAGTAGATCAAATTTAAGCTTGTCATCATATTACACTTCTGTTGTCTTTAAAATAATTTGTGTTTAATTGTTTCGTCTGTTGTTCAACTCTCGTCCTTTTTTGGTATAGTAGTTATATATAAGTACCTATTTTTTAGAGTAGTGTAGTGAAGCAGTACTTTAAACTAAAATGAGTGATTTTAAAGAAAATAAATAACAGTCGAAACGTAAAGTGTTATCTTCAGAATAACGGCGTTTAGTTTTGAAAGTCGGAAGTTATTATAATTTGAAAAACAAAATAGTATATGGGTCCATTGACATCTGTTATGGCAGTTATGGCACGCAACTGCGATGCTTGCGGTCTTTTAGAGAAGACATTTCGAAGAATTAATAACCAGTTAATTAAACTGGCAATTAAACATATAATATATATTATTTATAAAGCCAAATAACATGTAACAATTAGTGCTGTGTTCTAAAAAAAAAGAAGGAACTGAACATGAACAATAAACCGTCTGATCATCCGAGACAAATTAAATTTTTAGACGAAACTTGGATCTTCGCTAAAGGAAATATGTCAAAATCATCCTGGCAAGATGGCACCACGAAATAATACTCTTCTAGTCGTTCCGGTAATGGTAAACGCTACATTTTACCTCATGCTCAAACTGATTAGGGTTTTATTTCTGACACTAGTTTAATTTTTTCGGACACATAGAATACAGGTGGGTACCATGGAAATATGGATCCAAATATTTTTGAAGAATGGTTTGAAGAAAATTTGTTAAAAAAATTTGATCGACCATCCATCATAGTGTTGGATAATGCATCCTATCACTCAAGAGTAGAAGAGAGATTTCCTTCAAGCAGCTGGCCAAAAGAAGAAATCAATTTGTGGTTGACATAAGAAAAAAATATCACAAAGACATCATTTTAAAAGTCAATTTACTTCAAAGGTGTTAAGTGTACAAAGTTTAAAAGAAATTTGTTGCTGACCAAGTGCCTCTTAAATATGACCATGAAGTTCTTCTACTTCCGCCCTACCATTGCCACTATAATGGAATTGAGTTAGTTTGGAGGTATAGTCAAAAAGTTTTATGATAAATATGCATCCAAAACAACAGATGACGCTGGCAATCTTAGTTTATGGAAATATTCGTTAGAACAAATAAAGGCAGAACAATGGCAAAATTTTATTAGACGTACGGAAGACATAATCGTTAAGTCTTTTTAAACCGAGCGAGTTATAGATAAGGTCCAGCCTCTAATTATTTGGATAGACAATGCATATAGTGACGACTCTGATATTGAAACACAAGACAGTGAATAGGACAAATCGTTTTCTAAAAACAAGTAACAAAGAAGTGTCAATTCAGACCTTGTACTCTGTTTTAATTCAACGATAAAGTACTTTCGTTCTAATTACTGGACAGCATACTCTTCATAGCATTGGTATAAATTACTGGATTACACGTGGTTAAACCTTTTGTTTTAGTGAAAACTAGGAAATGATTTAGTACCAATTTGTTTTAAGGTTATATTTAATAAAGTGTCTGCAGAAAGTAAAGTCTTGGATGTATTTTATTCAAATTTATAGACACCAGCAATTTGGCAAGTATTTTTCAATTTTACTGCATGCAAAATCATTCGTATAATTTACACTCTACATAAAATAAAGACTTATAGAGACCTTGATGAACATTTGATGTCAACAAATAATTTCGAGTATTCGAAATATTTACTCCCACTGCATTTAACACGCCCTGTATATACATATTATATTCATTTTATTTGTCTTTGATACAGTAAAATCTAATATTATTACTGCACACAAAATACAGGAAATTAAATATTTTTACTTTTCAAGCGATCTAAATTAAATATTTGCGCCTCACTGTTTTAGGCCCACCGATCATATCTTAATTGCGTATCGGCCGTTATAGGGTAAAAGGACTTTATATAGTTTAAACACATTTTATTATGGGTACGCATCTTTCTATTGAATATATACTCGTGTCCCGTTTTCTTATCGAGATATAGCAAGGGCTACGGTAGCTTTAGCCACTGATTCTCATAAACGTGTACAACAATAAATTTTTTCTTTACTTTTTGTTTTTTAAATTTAAATAGGTTCCATCTGATGCTTATTCGATCATCTGTTATTTTTCTCATTACTCAATCTATTCATAATACGGAATAGAGTAGGAAATAGTACACAACTCTATTTGACTCCACTTTCTAGTGACTTTTTCTTCTGTTACTAGTGTTCCAGTTTGGCTTTGTATCCCCTGTAGAAAAGTTTTAGCTATTTTTATTATCAATCCTTTTTATCTATCTATATACTATCAATTCCACTCTTATGGCAATTTTTCGTTAGTCCACATCTTGTTCAAAAGATTGAATGCTTAGTATCTGCTTTTATTGGGTCCATGTGTATTTTGTCGGTTTTTACAGCTTTTCCGTCCTTTAAAGGTTTTAGTGCAATTCCAGTTTCTTCCCTTCTAAATTCGCCAATATTCTTTTACAATTTGTGATATTTCATGCCAGCATATATTTCCTTATAGTGTTAGTTCTACAGTGTGTCAATTCTAAAACGTACAGGGATGGCCATATCACACGAAGAAAAGCTGATATCGAAAAATGCTTGAAACCGTTTCTAGGATATTTATAAATAATAATGAAACAGGGTGAAGTAATAAGTGTAGTTCTATCTCCTGGACTATTGTTTTTAATGATGAGTGGCCGTTGGATTTTTTTTTGTCAAATAAAAACTTAATTTGCTGCTTTTGAAAAATAAGTTGAAACAATTCATAACAGGTTGATGCAATAGTTTTTGGTTTATTTGAGAATTTGAAGTGCCATTAGTTTTCATCATTGTTACGATCGTTACTGTCATTTAGCTGTAGTTGTCATGATGGTTTACAGTATACCTGAACGCGTGGAGATCATTATATTTGCCTTCTAGAATCAGTGTTATTTAAGAATAGCTCAAATATTTGATGAAACGTACCCGAACAAAAATGTAAGTCAAGTGCATGTCCGTGATTTAGTTAAAAAGTTTAGAGAAACGGCATTAGTGCAAAATAAAAAAGGGATGCCCCAAGATTACTGAATAAAGCATCTAAAAATAAGGTACTTGGAAATTTTGCAATAGAGCCTACTGCATTAACACGTAAAGTGTCTGCAAGGACAAGGACTTTTACATGAGTCGGTTAGAAAGGTGTTAAAATCACATAAGTTTCGCCCGTACAAAACACAAATTTTTCAAGAACTAGGCGATGGTGATATAGATCACTATCACCAAAAAAAAATCACGTTGAACCGAGAATGTTAAAAAATATATGTTTTACTGATGAATGTACTTATATGCTCAATTGAAATGTAAATAAACAAAACTGCCCGTACGGAAGTGATGCGAACCCACATCGATTCAGAGAAGGTCACACTCAATATCCTGAAAAACTAAATGTTTGTTCAGGAATATTAGGCGATGCTATAATTGGCTTCCTGTTTATACCAGGAAATTTAAGTGACGATATTTAAAAAGCGAAAGGGGCGATCAAGGCAACTTAGCTCTAGACGAAGATTTGCTGCACTTCCAACAAGATGAAGCACCTCCTCACTGTGCTGTTTCAGTTAGGCACTAGTTGGATACTAATTATCCGAACAAATTGAAAGAAGAGGTCCTATTGAGTGGCCGCCGAGGTCATCAGACTTACCGCCACCTGACCTTTTTTTATGGGGTTACCCCAAGTCAGTTGTTTATAAAACTCAACCTGCGTCACTTGGGGAATTGCGAGAAATAATTACCCAAGCATGTCGTGCTACTACTAGAACAACATTTGCCAAAGGTCGTGCAAAATTGGAA